AAGCAAACATACTCTTAACATATGATCTAGCAGTTATGCTTAGCATTTTTCCAAAAGAGTTAAAAAAAAAAACTCGTGTTCACACAAAAACCTGCACATAGATGTTTATAGCATCTTTATTCACAAGTGTCAAAATTTGGAAGTAACCAAGATGCCCTTCAGTAGGTTAATGTATAAATAAATTGTGGTACATCCAGACAATGGAATATTAATCAGTGCTAAAAAGAAATGAGCTATCAAGCCATGCAAAGACATGGAGAAATCTTAAATGCATATTGCTAAGTGAAAGAAGTCAATCTGAAAAGGCGACATACTATGATTCCAATGATATGACTGACAATACAGAAAAGGCAAAACTATAGAAACAGTCAAAAATTCAGTGGCTGTGGGGATTGGGGGGGGTGGGGAGATAGATAATTGGACACAGGATTTTTTTTAAGAGTGTATTTATTTATTTGAGAGCGAGTGCACAAGCACACAAGTGTTGGGGGGGTGGGGCAGAGGGAGAAGCAGACTCTCTTCCGCTGAGCAGGAAGCCAGATGTGGAGCTTAATTCCAGAACCTGAAGATCACGACCTGAGCCGAAGGCAGACACTTAAGAAACTGAGCCATGTAGGCACCCCAGAACACAGGATTTTTTTAGGGCAATAAATCTATTTTGTAAGACACCACAATAGCAGATACAGGTCATTAAGTGTTTGTCAAAACCCACAAAGTGTACAACACCAAGAGTGAACCTTAATTCAAACTATGGACTTGAGGTAATAAAAATGTATCATTGTAAGTTCAAATGTACCGCTGTGTTATAAGATGTCAACAATGGGGGTGGTTGTGTTGGTGGAAAGCAGGCATATGGAACTCTCTGTACTTCTCAATTTTGCTGTGAACCTAAAATCCTCTAAAAATAGTTCATTAATACTTTTTAAAGCAAAGGAATGACCTCTTCTCTTCCCTTGTAATGATCTGATCTATTCCCAGAGCTTCCTGCCCACCCATACCTCTCTCTTGAATTCTACCCAGATTTCAAAGTCATCTTGAACTCAGCAAGCTTAGTACTGAATTCTTGATCCTCCTCTCAAATTTTCTCCTCCTGTAATCTTTCGTATCTCACTAAATGGCTACTCTATCCTTCCAGTTGCTCAGACCAAAACACTTGGCATCATGAGTCCTTGACTCATCCTTTGTCAAACTCCCCGGCCAATCCTACTTCAATTAGGTGAACATTCTTGTGATTATTGTGCAAGCTGATGTTTGAGAACGATTGCGCAAAGCCACCTGTTTTAGATATATAGGAGGAATCTACAAATACAGGACTAAGAGTTTGAAAAGAGTAGGGAATGCCAATACATTCCCATTTTGAAATTAACTGCTACTGAAATTACATTCCTTATAAGAAATGGCAATTACCGATAACAGCTACCATTTTTAGGGCAATTAGTATATGCTAAATATTATGATAAGCAGTAAATATACCTGATCTCACTTATGAGGTAAATATTATACTCATTACTTTTATAAATGAGGAAACTGATACTTAAAGAAGTTTAACAAATGCCTCCAAATTCCATGCCCTTGACTGCCATATTATTGTCTCCTACATAGACTGGGAAAGAGTCTTGGACAGAACCCTAAGAAGATGACTCAGAGGAAGTAGCTGTCAAAGAATGAGAGTAAAAAATCAGAAATATGAAGAGGAAGTCTAGATGAGGGAAGTTTAAGAAGGAAGCCTTAACCACAATGGTCTGGAATATCTTTTTCAGTAAGTGAATCTAAAGACCACAGAGGATGTATGTAGAATTTCTTAAAAAAGAAGTTTTATGGACTATTCATCCTCTCTGACACCCAAGTTTTTCTCATAAAAACCAGGCACTAACTTGAAGTGTTTTGGCGTGAACAATGGTTAACATTCTTTTTTTTTTTTTTTTTTTAAGTGATGTGGAGGGAGTGATTGGGTGGACCAATCAGTTAAGCATCTGCCTCCGGCTCAGGTCATGGTCGCAGGTCTACAGATCGAGTCCCACATCGGGCTCCTGCTCAGTGGACAGCCTGCTTCCCCCTCTCCCTCTGCCTGCTGCTTCCCCTGCTTGAGCTGTCAAATAACTAAATAAAATTTTTTTTAAAAAGAGAAAGAAAAAAAAAAAAGAGAGAGATGTGGGGAAAAAGTGCTTTTACATTTAGGTAGAGAGGGGATAGATTGAGAGGAGAAAAACATAAGTTACTAATAGCCCAAAGTAGTTCTCTGCTTTGCTGGCACAGGTAGACTAACCAAGAAGTCAATCCTGACTCATTTTTAGACTGAGTTCTACTCACTTATAAACTGAGTGATCATTTGCTCATGATATTTTCTCCAGTTGGTAAAACCACCCTAGGTGTGGGGGTGATGAGTTTGAGTAGTAAGAAGCAAAGGGAAAATAATTCCCTTCATGAGCCAAAGGTGACTGTAAAGCCAACGATCCTGGTAGAGTTAGGACAGATGTCAGAGATAAGGCTGCAGAAATTGGCCAAGCCTATGGGGCACACTATAACATAAAGAGGCCCATTAGCCAAGTGCTCAAACCACCTTAAGATTTAGGAGTATAATGCAACTAATTAGTCTCTTTAATTGGTCTAACATGTTACAGTTTCTTTAATTGTATTAGCCTTCCAAGGATACCATCTGGCCAACTTGATTCACTTGTAAATTCCTAAATTCCAGCAGTGCCCTGTTAGTGTTGGTCTACAAATGATTAATCTTCTGTTTCACTTTAACTTTTCGCTAGTTTCAGTATCAGAAGTTGACCTGTTTTAAAATTTGGCCTTTTCATGACACCTTGTCTATATATTCTATATATGCAAAGATTTTGCATCTCTCTTTTTTGTTGTTGTTTTTTTTTTTGCACCTCTTTTAGAAGGATAAACCAGACTAATACCATGGAGACTTGTTTCCATACTTTTTCTAATCTACATTCCACATAATGTTGTTCAAATATGATATATAATTTCAGCATTCTGAATTTCTTCTATTACCCCATGAACTATTATTTATAGTTCCTTTATTTTAAGTGCATTTATTAGGCATTTAGTACATACCCAGCAGCCCTAGGTATTGGGGTAACACAGAAGACTGAGATTCTAGTTGCAAGAGAAAAATAAGACCAGTGGTACAGTTTAACAGAAAAGAGGGTGATTAATTCATTCTGGAGGAGATGGCAAATTTTTCCAAGACAAACGGGCTGAATCTGAAAGGATGAATAGGGTTCATTAGGCACTAGAAAATGGAAAAGGTATTACTAACACCTCTCTCCCCCAAACTGGTAATGTTCATGGCATTTAACTTAAAATGACAGGAAAAGAAAGAGTAAAATGACAACACAAGAAATCCTATTCACTTCATGGGGCGGGGGGAGGATTGTGCCTTTAAACACACTTCAGATTTGAAAGTTAAATGTTTATAAAACAGGATTCACAATCAAGGGAAAGGGGTGGAGGAGGAAGAAGTTGTTGTATTCAGTTAAAACAGATGAGTAAAAAAATCAACATTTATGCTTCAAAACACATATACCGCCTTTCCTAAAGTTCCTAATTTTGCAAATGAAAGCCTTGGAACTTTATCCAATATTACAGTTCTTTGCCCCAGTGTTTTGTACTCCCGATATCATTTTTTAAAATATTTTTTAAATTTATTTGACAGAGAGAGAGAGAGGTCACAAGTAGGCAGAGAGGCAGGCGGAGAGAGAGGGGGAAGCAGGCTCCCCGCTGAGCAGAGAGCCCGATGTGGGGGGCTTGATCCCAGGACCCTGGGATCATGACCTGAGCCAGAGGCAGAGGCTTTAATCCACTGAGCCACCCAGGCGCCCCGTCCCGATATCATTTTTAAAGGTTCTAAAGTGAGTCTACCCAAGAACTTGGCAGCACCTCCACACACGCATCCAATAATCCCCTCTTGACTGACCCAATCAACAGCACCCTAATCAACTTTGCACTTACCCCACTTGCGCACCTTCACACCCTTCAGAATCTGGCTTTATTTATACTACGACTATCAGAAGGTAGTAATTTAGCTCTAAGTTTTGACACCCCGCCTCTCCACCCTTTCGCTCAATTATTTCCTCTTCAATTTCATTAGTTTCGCTTTTCTACTGAAGGAACACTTAAAAAATACATCAACAGCACAATTATAAAAACCAATGGGTGCAGCCAGAGTCCGAACACACACACTGATTGCCAATCAGATCCCTCTCGAGGCTGTTCCTACCACTGATCAAAATCAGCGGGCCAGGAAGAAAGAAAAAGCTGAGGCAGGAAGGTTATTCCCTTCCTTCCACTCCCTCCATGCCTGCCCCCGCCCCCCCACCAGGGCCACACTGCGACCTCGTACGCTCCCCCCTCCACCGACCCGCCCCCGCTGCCACCCGCCACTGCCTAGAAAACAGTCATAGCCTTTGTTAAAATGTCCATGAGCACAATGTACCAGAAGACGGACACATTCCCGGGGGCGGGGTGAAGGAAAGTCACACGAACGCCACACCCTCTTTGGCACTAGCCTGGGGTGAAAGCCCACCTTTCCCAAATCCTCTCTCCCCACGACAAGGAATGTTCCTGGCAACTCCGCACTCTTAAGACCGCAGCGCCGGGGAAGGGATGGGCCCGGGACGACGCTCAGGGGCACCCAGCGGGGGATACTGAACTTGAAGCTGGGACACCCTCCAGCGCCTTTGGCGAGCCTCCCGGTCCTGCCAAGCCTGAGTAAGGACTTCCAGTCTCCGGAGCCCTTCCCTTCTATTTTCCTCCTTACACAAACGCTCACCCACACCCGCCACCACGCACTCCGCTCCGCACGCGGCCGGGGCTGGACACTCTTAAGCAGTGCGGCCAACTCCCCTGCCTCACGTCCTACCAGTGCCTACTCACGGGACCGAAGACTCCCCGGGCACTCACCCGCGCACTCCCCGAACCCTCCCGGGATGTTCGGCGGGAACCAGGTTCTCCGGCCACCAGCCCCACGATTCCACCTCACTCACCGCGCGTTCCGCGCCGCTACTCCGCGCTCTGCAAGCTGCCAGCCGCGCCTGCGCGCTCCCACCGCCGACGAACCTAGTAGGAGCCTGGAGACTGGAACCAGGAGCAGATGGGAAGGGTGGTGGGAAGCGGAGGGGGCGGGGCCCGGGCGGTGTTAGGAGAGGAGGGGCGTGGCCAGGCGGGGTGGGAAACCGACGGGCGGAGCCTCCGCCGCCTTAGTCCGGAAAACCTAGTGCTCTGGACACACGGCTGGAGTTTTCCACTCTCGAGGTCTGTTGATAACGTAGTCAGAGAAGTTTTCTGGTCCCCTCGGTGCACCTTCACACTCATCCTCGAGAAAGCCCGCTTGGCGTGGAACCAAGCTAGCCAGTCCCCGGGAGTCACAAGGACTCTCCTTGGAGCCACCCTAGATCCTCCCTAGCTAGTCTTTCACTCTTTGCACGCCTATCTCCCCACGTCTTATTCCCCCACCTCAACCCTCCGCGCATTTTTCCTTCTCGCACGCGCAATCCTCAGCCCTCCAGAGGTGAGGGGTTAGACATTTCTCACCCACATACCGTCTATGCAGCGTATCCTGGTTAACGTGTCTCTTTGATGTGTACTAACCCAAAACGCATTGGTTTTCCTGAGAACAAACTCTGCTTTTGTTTCTGCACTTTTGGTGACAATAATATACTTTTTTCTTAAAAAGATTCTTGAGTAAGCCTACCTGAATTTCTTGGGAAGAAGAACACAGGTTTCCAAGAAGAGGCATCTTTGATCCTGCTTTTTAGGTAGCCACCTTAGAATTTGAGCCTTCTAAAAGCCCCTCGGAGAAACAGAATATTCAGCCTATGTTGTATGGACTTTGCCCTAATGGTTTCGGGTTTTCTGGCGTTTAGCATTTTGAGAAGCCCAACTTGATTATTATTCCATGATGCATGCGTGCTTAGTTTTAAGTTCTATGCTTTTATGTTTAAAATCTGGTCAGCTGTGCTATCTCACGTGCCTTTGGATCAGCTATTAAAATAAACACACCTGAGTGCATCCAACGTGAATAGGCCTGTGGGCCTAAAGTGATTTATTCCAAATTACTTTTCCTTTCTTCTTTTTGCTTTAGTTATGATGGAATTGAGAAACATTTGGCTAAGAATAAAAGAACTGCCACAGGGCCACACCCCTAGTCCTGCCCAGCAACTGTTTTGACTGTGATGGCAGCATTTTTGGGGAGAGTCTGGTAACTGCCCCTAGAGATCTGAATATCCTGAAATTCTTCCCATTAACCTTTGTGGTTCTTCCATTTGTGTATTTTACAAACCAGACTTTCTTGAACTCATTTCTATTTTGCATTTGTCAAATAAGTATGGGAGATTGTAGTGAGGCCATATTGGAAGAGGGTATGCGTATTGGTAAATATAAACACAGACTGTAGGATGAATAAATCTGTAAATGCCTGGAAGTAGGATTTTGTCTTGTTCATTTCACTGAAAATGTTTCACATACAGAAGATGCCTAAAAAACCCCCACTAGGTTAGTAAAGGTAATGTCTGCTTTCTTAATAGATGTGTATATATGTGCATGAACTTTCATTTGATTACTGGGTTTATTTTCTTCTTCTGTGTCTGAATTTGTCAGGATATTTTGTGAGGTGAACGTGATAACCACTACACTACAGAAACTGTCAGGATATTTTGATGGAAGTGACTAAAAGTCCAACAAAGTAGCTTAGGCAAAAAGAGAAAGTTATTGTGTAACCCAAGCTGTGAAAAGGGTAAGTATATGAATGACTTTCATAATAAATGGAACAAATAAAGGGAATGCTTCAAATTCCAGGTTAGGCTCTCAAACCTGCCTCTTTTAGACAGGGTCATTCTTTGAGAATGTCTGAAAGGCAAGTTCTGTAGGCTTAGAACCATGGCCTCTGACAAACTGTGGGTTCATACCTATCAAGCTGTTACCACAGAGAATGAGCCTCTCTTCCCTCAGTTCCAATTTTTAGAACACCAGATAAAGAGCATGATTGGGTAAGATCAAGTAACATAATCATTCTTGGATTAAAAGTACATGTGTGACGTAAGAATGGTACACCCAGTAGAACCACTTAGTTGGAGGGGGGGGAAAAAGAATAGGGGAAGTTGCCATTTTCAGAACAAGAGAAAAGTGCTAGACAGATTTTTAAAAAAGTTCACAATGGAACAAATGTATTTAAGGAATATAGCCTTGGGATTATCTTTTACCTCTCTTATTCATGTATTAACCATTCTTCTTAATAATAGTTTTCTGTGGCTGCTGTAAAAATAAAAACAAAAAAACAAAAAACCCACACTTCATGGCTTAATACAACACAAGTTTATTATAGCTCTAGGAATCAGAAGTCTGAAAAGTGTCACACTGGGCTAAAATCACAGTGTCAGCAGCATTGAATTCCTTTATGGAGGTGCCAGGCAGAATCCTTTTTCTTGACTTTCCACATTCTAGAGACTACCTCCTTGGTTCATGGCCCCGTTCCATCTTCAAAGCCAGCAAAGACATTACTCTGACACACTGACAATTCTGCCTACCTCTTCCACATTTAAGGACCTTTGTGATTATATTTGGCCCAACCAGATAATCTCATATACTCTTATTCTAAGGTCAGTTGATTAGCAACCTTAATTCCATTTATAACTTTAATTCTCCTTTACTATGTAACATAATATTTCCACATGTCCTGGATATTAGCATTGTGGTGGAGGGGGGCGGTCTACATTATAATTCCTACCACAGTCTTTATTTTCATAAAAACAACAGAGCCTAAATCATTGGTTCCCAGTCTGGGGTGCTTATAAAAAATACTGATGTCTTATCTGGATACCACCCCCATCTATTATTATTTCATTAGACTGGAGTCCACGAGCCCTCTAAATACACACACACAGACACACACACACACAGTTGACTGGATCAGGATGGATGGGGAGGGAGTATCTCAGGTAGGTTAGGGCAATCAGAGAACTTCCCTAGGGATTTAGAATGGGGAGAGGGAATTGGTAAGACTGGGTGTCTGGGCTATAACAACAATGTAGGGGCTATGCCATCAGGAGAAATAGAAAAAACAAGTCTGGAGAGGATAGAAGAGAGAAAAGAGACAGAGAAAAGAAGTAGATAGAGTGGAGCTGAGCCTAGATCCTCAATGGCTGTCTGCCTCTTGATTACAGTAGCATTCTTTCCCGTGGCTTCTATGAGGTATCACTACATTCTCATAAGAAAGTCTTATTTCTTCAACAAAGGAGAAAAGAATATCCAATGGAAAAAAGATAGTCTCTTCAATAAATGGTGTTGGGAAAATTGGACAGTCACATGCAGAAGAATGAAACTGGACCATTTCCTTGTATCATACACAAAAATAGACTCAAAATGGATAAAAGACCTAAATATGAGACAGGAATCCATCAAAATCCTAGAGAAGAACATAGGCAGCAACCTCTTCAACCTCAGCTGCAGCAACTTCTTTCTAGATGTGTCTCCACAGGCAAGGGAAACAAAGGCGGAAATGAACTATTGTGACTTCATTGAGATAAAAAGCTTTCACACAGCAAAAGAAACAGCTGACAAAACCAAAAGACAACCTACTGAATGGGAGAAGATATTTGCAAATGTGTTATGAGATAAAGGGTTAGCATCCAAAATCTATAAAAAAAAAACTTATCAAATTGAACACCCAAAAAATAAATAATCCAGTTAGGAAATGGGCAGAAGGGATGAACAGACATTTCTCCAATGAAGACATACAAATGGCCAACAGACACATGAAGAAGTGCTCCACATCACACAGCATCAGGGAAATGAATGGCTAAAATTAACAAGTCAGGAAATAATAGATGTTGGTGAGGATGTGGAGAAAGGGGAACCCCCTACACTCTTGGTGGGAGTGCAAGCTTGTGCAGCCACTCTGGAAAACAGCATGGAGGTTCCTCAGAAAATTGAAAATAGAGTTACCCTATGACCCAACAATCGCACTATTGAGTACATACCCCAAAGATACAAATGTAGTGATCTGAAGGGGCACCTGCACCCCAATGTTTATAGCAGCAATGTCCACAATAGCCAAACTATGGAAAGAACTCAGATGTCCATTGACAGATGAATGGATAAAGAAGGTGTGTTATGTATATATGCAGTGGAATATTATGCAGCCATCGAAAACTAAATCTTGCCATTTGCAAGGATGTGGATAGAACTAGAGGGTATTATGCTAAGCAAAATAAGTCAATCAGAGAAAGACGTGATCTCACTGATATGTGGGATTTAAGAAACAAGGCAGAGGATCATAGGGAAGGGAGGGAAAAATGAAACAAAATGAACCCAGAGAGGGAGACAGAATATAAGAGACTCTTAATCTCAGGAAACAAATTGAAGGCTGCTGGAAGGGAGAGGGGTTGAAGGGATGGGGTGGCTGGGTGATGGACATTGGGGAGGGTATGTGCTATGGTGAGTGCTGTGAATCGTGTAAGACTGATGAATCACAGACCTGTACCCCTGAAACAAATAATAAATTATATGTTAATTAAGAAATTGCAACAAAATTAGGAGATGAGAGAGTTGCCAAAGTGGTTCTAAAGTTTATCTGTAAATATATTATTTTATTAGAAAAAAAAGAAAGTCTGAAGCTAGTTCGAATTGTTTCCTCTCGCATAAAGCCCAAAATGTTCTAATTAATACATGATGTGAGCTTAATAGTTCTCTATTTTTTTATAATATACCTCTTGTTTAAGAAATAAGGCAAGTTGAAGAACCAAACTGTCAGAGTTGGAATTCCAGAACTGTCTACGTCACTAGCACATCTCCTGGTTATCCCATATTCTTCAAATCCTCCTTCCTCTTAATATTTACTCAAAGGCCCAGAGAGGCCTCACAAGTTATCTCAGTCTAATCTTCATTCACTAGTCTCCCCAGGGCACACCAGTTGGGTACAGATCCAGTTCTCAGCTTAACTAATGTCAAGTAAATCTTAACGATTTGCAAATCAAATCTCTAGCCCTCAGCCTTCTCCTCATTTTCAGATCTATAGTTACAGCTGATGAATTGATCCTGCCACCTCAAATTATAAGACACAAAACTCAATTTTTCTTCCACACTCTGCCTTTTCC